CCCCAAAACCCCAAAACCCCAAAACCCCAAAACCCCAAAACCCCAAAACCCCTTCGTTTCCTTCTTCTGTTGAAGTTCAGGCCTTCTAAAATAATTCATTAACTTGTTAAATATTATTCAATTAAAGTTCTTTGGATTTCATCGACTTTTAAAATACCCATCATAACTTTAAACTCATCGAAGCTGATCTTACCATCTCTTTCAATGTCATGTTCCTTAAGAATCATGTTAATTTCTTCTTTAGAGATGACCCTGCCTGCTTTCTCAATAGCTTCTTTGATATTTTCAGGGGAGATAAATCCAGATCCATCTGTATCAAAATGCTTAAAGAGGGCATAGAGCATTTCACTAGTCAATACATTCTGTGCTGAGATGGTAGCAGCTAAGAATTCACTGTAGTTTATCTCTCCATTACCGAGATAGTCCACCTTTGATATGATCTTCTTTATCTCCTTAGCAGTTATTTCTTTCCCCATCTTCCTGATAGAATCTTCAAGTTCTTGGGCTGAGATCGTTCCAGTGTAGTCTTTATCAATTTTTCGGAATTGTTCCCGAAGGTCCTCAATCTCATCATCCTTGAGCATTGTAACAAGGATGTTCATAGCTTCCTTTTTAAGCACTGAGTTAGCATCATAGGCCTTGAGGGATTCATAGACTGCGTCTGATAACTGATTTGCCTCCTTATCCTCAATTTCGGAAAACCATTTTGAGTCTAAAGCTTCTGAAGCTGTGACGCGACTTTTGGGATCTTTCTGTAAACAACTTTTAATGAGATCAATAGCTTCATTTGAAATATTTTTCCATCAATCTCTATCAAAATTAGGCTCCTTCTCTATGATGCTTTCGCATATTTCAGCGAGGTTGCTACCATGAAAGGGAAGGTAACCTGAGAGTAAAATATACATGATGACTCCAAGGGACCATATATCACATTCGCTTCCATACCCATTATTATCAAATACTTCTGGTGCGACGTAATAAGGCGTTCCTCAGATCAAATTCATTTTCTCGCCCTGGTTTTGCTGAGAAAGCCCAAAGTCTATAATTTTAACTTCAGAGATTTCATCATTCGATTTCTTGTTAAACATTATATTTTCAGGTTTTAAGTCTCTATGTGTAATTCCTTGTGCATGGCAATGACTAATAGCGTGGAATAGTTTCCTCATTATTTTTGCAGCGTCTTGTTCAGTAAATTTCTTCTCTTTTGAAGTTAGTTTGTCAAACAGCTCTCCTCCTTCTCAATATTCCATTACAAGGTAAAAGAATTTTTCATTTTCGTATGTTTCATGGTACCTGATGATGTTGGGGTGATCCAGAGACTGCAGGATCTTAATTTCGTCTTTTATTAAAGCTATTTCTCCCTCAGTCAAGTTCTTTTTAGATAAAGTCTTGATAGCCACCTTCGTCGCAGCAGTTGAGCCCAGAAACACTTTTCCGTAGGTTCCAGTGCCCATGAGTTTGGGATGGATGGTGTACTTCTCGCGAATCTGCTTGAAGCTTCCCGTTCTGATGATGCTCCGATGTTGGAGCCGAGGCTTGTGAATTTTCTTGTTTGAACTGCAGCAGCCCATGTATAATATTATTTCAATAAATTAATTTCAAAGGGGTTTTGGGGTTTTGGGGTTTTGGGGTTTTGGGGTTTTGGGG